AAAAAAAAAAAAAAAAAAAAAAAAAAAAAAAACTGTTTTAGCTGAAAAGATAACATTCACGGACAGCAAGATATTACTGTATAAGAAGGTACGGAACTAGTGGAACTGAGAGTAGGAAAGTAATTCAGTCAGGTGAAGTTTGAACTTTTCAGCAGACAAGAAACAGATCAACGAAAAGCAGACTAAGAGTTTAAATGTTCTCAATTATGCTCAAGGAAAGTGGGCTAAATCTTTTTGTTTGTAGACTAAGATGAAATCAATTGGTTTTCAGTCGAGAATTTAAAATGTTCAATTCCGATCAGAATTGGGATGGGACTTTCAAGACAAACGTGTAATTTCAAAGGAGAAGTATCAGGAGATCTAAAATTCGTTGAAGTCACTGGTCGCAAAACGGTGTTATGCCTTCCCGGGTATTTATTACCTTTTGCGGTTTTGTAATTGCTTACTGAATCGGTGACCAGCAGACTGCAACTTGGGGAGATCGTGATGCCAATAGCACCACTTTCATCACGACGTTCAACAGACTCTTTGCAGTCTCTTATACTGCAGCGATGAGCTAAAGGTTTCATGTGGCTTGAAAGCAGCTTCAGCAAAAGTTTCATCGAGCAAGACGTTTGGTAAATGCTTTCCTTTTTTAAAATCTTTTCAGCAAGTATCGGTTCTTCTCTTTACTGTTTCTGTAGTTCAGCAGCAGTCAGTAACGAAAAATACACTTTGCGATGATTTTCAAGCAAGGTAGATTTTTTGCTGTTTCAGATTTCAAAAATTTTTTAAAAATCTACCTTGCTTCAAAGTCACCGCAAAGTGTATCTTTCGTCACTGACTGCTGCTGAGCTACAGAAACAGTTAAAAAAAGAACCAATATTTGCTGAAAAGATTTTAAAAATCTACCTTGCTTGAAATTCACCGCAAAGTGTATCTTTCGTTACTGACTGCTGCAGCGAAAAATCTTGGCGACGGAAAAAACATTTTTCTTCAAATGACGTGTTAACCCCCACAACCTTCATCTTTTGCATCAGAATTAGCCACTCTTTTCGCTGCTTCTTGAACCAATACTTTTGAACCAATACCTCCGAGGCACAGTGTGGCATTTATTTTGTTGTCGACATCACGGCTATCTCCTTTTGCACCTCTTCATCTTAATACCTAACTTTTCGTACCACCATTCCCAGCCCGGATAAACCGCAGTTTGACCGCCTCGCCCTCATCCATCTTAAAACCGTAATTTGCATTTGCTTTACCTAACCTGATTAGTAAACGGAACTATTGTCACCACCACTAACGAAGTAAAGCAAAAGTAGCACCAGAATCCCATCTTTTTGAGCCTAGCTGAGCTAGGTGGGCCGTTCCCGGAGGCAGGTGCAATACCGGGTCAACCC